GGAGCCAAGTTTAGAATACAAGAAGAAAGACAGCCGATCAGGAAACTCGTGTGACTTACCTGAAAAATAAAAATAAATACATGACATTGTTGAAGCGGAATATTCAAGGATAAGTTATGTATTTACAAATTACGATACAGAAATTGTCGCCATATATATTTTTTTTAATTTCGCGCATGCGCCTTGTTTGTTTTTGATTTTGTCAACAGCACAGTATAATAGAGTCGGTTGGTACGGTCTGTGAGAAAAAGAGCACCACGAGGCAATTGACTCCACCAGATATTTGGAAACGGCATTCACACCAGAAGCACCAATACGAACATTTCAGTGTGCTTAGATATCAATCTGAGGAGAGTGCAGAGGATGCGGAAAAGTTGGATGAGTCTAATGGTGATTACGAATGTAGGGCAGCTCGGAAAACTCACTCTGATCATTCTGATTAGAAAAGAACACCCGAATTTTTTGATGAGGGCCTCAAACTCAACAACAAGTTCAATTAGGAGGTAGTGCTGCCCTGGGTTAAGAAAGTGGCTGCTAGAAGGGGCTATGTCTGGCAACAGGATTCTGCACCATCCCACACTAGCGGGAGGACCCAGTCATGGCTGTCAGACAATTTCTGCGACCACATCACTTATTATATCTGGCCACCTACCTCACTTGACAACAACCCTCTTGGTTATTATGTGAGGGGCGCAGTTGAGTGCGAGACCAACAAAACTCCTTTTAAGACCAAAGCTTAACTGCAGGCAAAGATTATGACAGCATTGACCAAATCAAATAAAGAGACTGTCCAGAATATTTGCAGGATATTCTGAAGTCAACTGGTGGGCGTGGTTGAAACCAATGGCGATTGTATTGAATAATTTGACTATTTAGTATTTCATATTTTTGTTTAATTTTGGTAAATATATTTGTTAAAATGAGATGCCAGTGTTATTTTGATTTTGGCGTCATTTAGACGACAATTTATTCATCGCACCCTGTCTATCTGTTAAAATGAGATGACTGGTATTTTCATTTGGGTGTCGTTTAGACGACAGTTTATCCATCGCACCGTGTATATGAAAATAAGATGCCAGTGTTATTTTGATTTTGGCGTCATTTAGACGACAATATCCATCGCAACCTGTATATCTGTTAAAATGAAATGTCGGAGTTATTTTCATTTTGGCGCCATTTAGACGAAAATTTATCCATCGCACTCTGTATATGTTAAAATGAGATGCCAGTGTTATTTCCATTTTGGCGTCATTTAGACGACAATTTATCCATCGCACACTGTGTGTCTGTTTGTGTTTGAGTGTGTGTTTGTGTTTTGATCGAAAGAAAAATTATGAATATTTCGTAAATAACTCACTGCATTGTATCAAAATAAGCCGAACTCGTGAAATTCTATGCATCTTCTTTGATGTGTTCATAAGATTATCTACAATGGATTCAACTCTGGACAAAGACCTTTTGATTGAAGTCACCTTGTATTATGTGCGTCTTCTTTGATAGTTCATGCTTCCCCGTTCAAAACGGACGCTCCATTGCCGAGGACATCTACCCCCGCCTTTTATAGAATATGGAAATCCTTTCACGTTCTACCGCGTTTAATATTAGTATACTCAGTCTTTTATATGATTATATATGTTTATATATATATATATATATATATATATATATATATATATATATATATATATACCGGATGTAACACCAAAATTGTCCAAATCGTGTAACTGCAAAATTGTCCAATTTTTAGACAAAGTTTGAACCGTTGCATCGTAAGAAAGATTAAAGGTATCTTACTGGAATTCTTTGATGTTTTTATAACACTACTGGCCTCTACTTGGAGCAATAAGAATCTATAATTACTTAATTATTTAATTATATATATATATATGTATATATATTTTGAACAATAAAAAAATTAAAAATTAAAATCCTCAGACACACTGGGTTGTAGATTAATATTCCTTCGTTTTTTTTATTTATTATTATTATTTCATTTAGATTCCTCAAAAGTTTCGGCCAAAATGGCCATCATATATATATATATATATATATATATATATATATATATATATATATATATATATATATCCCAGGTTCATTTCCCAACTTATTCAATATAATCTTTGCCCTCTCTATCTTTCTAACATTTTGTCCTGAAGTAACATCATGCCTCACAGGTTTCACGAACGATTATATTCTCTGGTGTTTTGTCACTGCTTTTGGGCTATCACAGCTTTAAATCCTCTATCACATGCCTTATGAATTGAGTTGGATCTTTTCTAATTGATACTTTTAACTCTAAGTTAAAATGATGATCCCTCTTCTTGTTGTGACCTCCTAACCAGGTTTCCTCTATACTGTTACCACTTTCTTAAACTTATTCACCGTTCTCTTGATGGTTTCTGAATGGACTTTGTAGATGAAAGCCAGAGTATGAATTTTGGTACCATTACTGAAGGCATGAAAGATCCTTTCCCTCTCACAATTACTCAGTTGGGAAGACAGTGGGGCTGTTGCAGAACGATTTTAACCTGTTCTTTTTTGCTTGAATAATCCAAAGTGTTTTTCAGTGTTTCTTATGGCAAATGCCTAAACGTCTGGGAAAAATAAACTTTAATGTTTTTTTTTTAGATATTAAACATTTTGTCGGTTGGGTAATTACTCGCGGTATATACATATGCACGGATCCCTGAAGGCGACTGACAAGGTAATGTGATTGGTAAATTTACCGATTACGTAAAACATCTAATTTGGAAAATTGAAAAAAAATTATAAGAAATTTAATATGACTTATCGATATTATTCAACCAAACATGCTTTAAATATATATATATGTATATATATATATACATATATATATTATGAAACTGACAAAGTCCGACAATTATTTTAAGACATTCTTTTCATAGATACAAATATTTAAGTAAATGCTCTGTTTATAATGAATAGTATTAAACAATATTTTACGGCCTGAATGTCCGAGATATTTTCATAGAAAATATTCGTCCACCGACAGGATTCGAACCTGTATCCTATACGTAACCGTCATAGCCTGACATGTCAGGCTATATTTCTCGGACATTCAGGCCGGTAAATGTTGTTTAATACTGTTTATTATAAACAGAGCATTTACTTAAATATTTGTATCTATGAAAAGAATGTTAAACATAAAACTGTCTTTATATATATAAATAAAATTGCGGGATAAGATAATGCACGAATCAGCCTTACAACCTCGAGGATTGGCGCTACACAATCGCAAACAATGAACTGTATGAATTAAGAGAAACTATGTCAGTTAGGGTCTTTCATTAGTTCCAGTAACTAAAATAGATATGACATGTAGATCAAAAGCGATAAAACTAACAGAATCCTGATGTTGACTTTCTACACTATTACAGACGAACGATTAGGAAGGAAAGGCCAGGCCCATCAATACTGACATGAGGGGTAACAGCTCACTTGAGAATCGTAACTGACTGAATAATCTTTAGAAAGTTTTTATGAATATCAACCGACGTTCTACACTATTACAGACAAAAGGTTAGGAAGGAAAGGCCAGGCCCGTCAATACTGACATGATTTTATTAATATCAACCGACGTAAGAACTAGCAGCTTAATCACTGAAGGCTGAATATTTTCAAGGACGGAAACCGAAAATATTATTCTTACCTCAAAGGATAATATAAGAATTGTTGTTTTTTATCAGTCCAGACAATGCCAGAGTCTCGCTACTATGCTTTATAATTACAAGTGTCTGATAATTTTGGATGTAGTCAATCGTCATACCCAGGAATTATCCTGGGTATGTTTCTATTTCATGGATGAAAATTGAATATAAAGCATTAAAAACTCCTTTTATTTGTTTTCCTTTCATGCATTTTACCCTGAATTGCGTCCCCTCCT